TAAAACTCAACATTCAAAAAACTAAGATCATGGCATCCGGCCCCAACATTTCATGGTAAATAGATGGGGAAACAGTGGAAACAGTGACAGACTTTACTTTCTTGCGCTGCAAAATCATTTCAGATGGTGACTGCAGCCATGAAATTAAAAAACACTTGTTCCTTGGAAGAAAAGCTATGACCAATCTAGACAGCCTATTAAAAAGCAAAAACATTACTTTGGTGACAAAAGTCTGTATAGTCAAAGCTATGGTTTTTCCAGTAATAATGTATGGATGTAAGAGTTGGACTATAAAGAAAGCTGATCACCAGAGAAGTGATGCTTTTGAACTGTGGTGTTGGAGAAGACTCTTGAGAGTCCCTTGGACTGGAAGATCAAACTAGTCAATCCTATAGGAGATCAGTCCTGAATATTCATTGGAAGGACTGATGCTGAAACTGAAACTCCAATACTTTGGCCACCTGATGCAAGGAACTGACTCACTGGAAAAGATCCTGATGCTGGGAAGAATGAAGGCAGGAGAAGGGGATGACAGTGGATGAGATGGTTGGATGGTGTCACTGACTCAACCGACATGAGTTTGAGCAAGCTCTGGGAGTTGCTGATAGACATGGAAGCCTGGTGTGCTGCAGTCCATGGGATTGCAAATAATTGGGCATGACTGTGTGACTGAACTGAACTGAGGCAATTTGGAGTTAACTTCATCAACTTTTTTCCATGTGGCCTGAGATCTACATAGTTGTGAACAGCAGATAACTTCTTTTACCTGGTGGGGTTTTCAGTATCTGCCAAACACCTCAAAGATATTGTTATGCATATCTCTTGAGGGGTCATCAGGACCCTGAAGGCAGGCTGCACTGTTGTTTCTTGACTGTTTTCCCTTGTCTCCACATCCCCTTCGTTCCCTAATTAGCAACTGCTTTATCCTGCCCTTTGGAACAGGGAACACCCTTGAGGCTGAATGAAGCCTGTTTCCTACACTGAAGATTCAGGGACAGAGAAAGGCTTTTGTGGGTTGGAGGCCCACAGGTTCCTGCTCAGTTTCAAAGGGAGAAGGTGGGAAAAAGTGCCAGCTTCTTGAGTGGAAGAGGCAAGTTGCTTTTGTTAAAAAAAAAAAAAAAGGGTTTGTCTCGTGATCAGTGATAATTTCCAGAAATTGTTTAACTCATTTGATCATCTGCAGTAGCCCCATGGTGGCTATCAGGAATAGGAAATTCTTCCGTGAGGGGAGAGTGTGTTGCTTGTGAATTTAAGGTTCTTGCTTCATTGTGAAAGAATTCAGAGACAAAGCGATAGGTAAGAAGTGGATTTATTTAGAGAGGAACCCAGTCCATAGAGTGTGAGCCATCTCTGAAGGTGAGAGCACTTCAAAATATAGTGTGGTTAGTTTTTATGGGATAGGAAATTTCATAGGCTAATGAATGGAAGGATTATTCCAGTTATTTTGGAAGAAGGGATGGGGATTTCCAGAAATTAGGCCACCCTGCCCACCTTTTTGGCCTTTTATGTTTACCCTCAGAACTGTTGTGGTGCTGGCGGCTATATCATTTACCATGCTACTGCATTGCAATGAGTGTATAATGAGGCTCCGGGTCTACTGGAGTCAACTCTTCCTCCATCTTGGACCCAGTAGGCCCTGAGCCTCTTTATACCCTCTTTATACCTCTATATACTCTTTATATAAAGAGTATAAAGTATACTCTTTATACTACATTGTAATACAGTAGCATGGTAAATGACATAGCTGCCAGCACCAAACAAGTCTTTGTCATGTCCTGTGGCATTCTTTTAAAGATTATGCCCTGTCCCCTTCCCTCCTGTTTCAAAAGGAGTGCATGAGAACTTTCTGCAAGAAAGCACTGGAAGAGATAAGGTTAAAATTTATAGTTGAGCTTTTTATCTTGTGCCGACTAAGTATACTTGCTTGTGTAACAGAGATAAAAGTTTATTTTTTTTTTTTCCTGGGAGCCTGGTTTTTATTCTTGGGACCCAGGCCCATAGGGCCTTTGTTCTTTCGCTTCCAAAGCCTGCTTTGTCCAAAACTACTCCCTGGTCCTTTTCCTAAATAGCTGTACTCTTGTCTTCCCTGTCTCAGTTATGCTCTAGTTAACCAAAGGTTTGAATAGTAAGCTCAAAGTCTATATTAAAGAACAAAATATGAAATAAGCATCTTTTGATGAAAGAGGACTATTTGAGGAAATATCCTCTCTTTTTTCCCCTTATCTTTGGAGAAGTTAATATTAGGTTGATGCAATTGAAGTTTTTGCATTGTTGAAATTTATTGTTTAATATTGAAATACTTATCAATAAATATGGTTATATTAGACATCATTTTAATGTACATTTCTCACTCTATGTTTTTGCTAATGACTATTACTTGCTGTTTATTTTATATTTGCTTTAGACTATGGAAATGATATTAGACAAAAAGCAAATTTGAGTGATTTTCTTATTCGAGTCAAAATGCGTCATAAAGCAGGGAAGACAACTCAAAAAATCAATAGCACATTTGCCCTAGGAACTGCTAACAAACATACCGTGCAGTGGAAGTTCAAGAAGTTTTGCAAAGGAGATGAGAACCTTGAAGATGAGCTCAGTGGCTGGCCTTTGGAAGTTGGCAGTGACAATCTGAGAGCCATAATTGAAGCTGATCCTCGTACAACCACAGGAGAAGTTGCTGAAGAACTCAGCATTGACCATTCTGTGGTTGTTTGGCATTTGAAGTAAACTGGAAAGATGAAAAAGCTCAATAGATGGGCGCCTGATGAACTGACTGCAAATCAAAAAATCATTGTTTTGAAGTGTTGTCTTCTCTTATTCTACACACCAACAACGAACCATTTTTCAATTGGATTGTGGTGTGCGACAAAAAATGGATTGTAATTCTCAAAAAAAGAAACACAAATGACAAGTATGTAAAATACTCATTAGAAGTGGCAAAAAAAAAAAAAAAGGATTGTATACAGCAACTAGTGACAACTAACTCAGTGGTTGAATCAAGAAGAAGCTCCAAAACACTTCCCAAAGCCAGACTTGCACCAAATAGGGTCATTGGCACTGTTTGGTAGCCTGCTGCCAATCTGATCCAGTATGGCTCTCTGAGTCCTGGGGAAACCATTGCATCTGAGAAGTATGCCCAGGTAATCGGTGAGAGACACCGAAAACTACAATGCCTGCAACCAGCATTGGTCAGCAGAAAGGGCCCAGTTCTTCTCCAGGACAATGCCCAACTGCATGTTACACAACCGATGATTCTAAAGTTGAATAAATTGAAATACAAAATTTTGCCTCATCCACCATATTCACCTGACCTCTTGCCAACCAACTATCACTTCTTCAAGCATCTCAACAACTTTTTGTAGGGAAAATGCTTCCACAACCAGCATGAGACAGAAAATGCTTTCAAGAGTTCATTGAATCTCAAAACACGGATTTTTATACTACACGAATAAAACTTATTTCTCATTGGCAAAGATATGTTGATTGAAATGATTCCTATTTTGATTAATAAAGACGTGTTTGTGCCTAGTTACAATGATTTAAAATTCACAGTCCGAAACTGCAATTATGTTTGTGCCAACCTAATAATCTAACCAGCTAAATTTCAAAACACTGATTGGTATAATTCATTTGTAAATAGAATCAATTTTCATTGAAAGCCTGAATGTGGATGTGCCTTATCTTGCCTTCTTCTACTCAAGTAAACAGACCCAAAATCTACTTTTTAGGCCAGTCCAGGCCACCTTTTTCCTAGAGTCTATTTTTTTCTTTTGCTCTTCCTTCCAAGCAACTTTCTGGGCTATGGAAGGTGCTAAAAGTAAGATTTGGACAGAGAAGGGAACATGGGTAGGTGTGTTTATGGGAGTGACAAAATGAGGAGGCTTTTTATATTTGTCTGAGACTGCAGGCTTCATTCATGCTTCTTTGACTTTACCTGGTGTTTTTATATCCTAGCCATAAATATGAGTGTGTGTGTGTGTGTGTGTGTGTGTGTGTGTGTGTGTATCACAAACTGGTAGCTTAAAAGAATAGAAATTTGTTTTCTTAGTTCTGGAGTCTACAAGTCCAAAATCATGATATAGGCGGGCTTATACTCCCTATAAGGCACTAAGCAAGAATCCTACCTTGCCCCTTTCTAACATCCTAACATCAGGTGACTGTTCAGAATCCTCGGTATTCCTTGACTGTAGCTTCTTTACTCCAATCTTTGCCTCCCTTGTTTTATGGCTTTCTTTACTGCATGTCTTCAGGTGTACATCTTTTTACAAAGCCACTATCCACTGGATTTAGGGTCCATACTAATCCAGTGTGACCTCGCCTCAGCTAATTACACCTGAAAAGAAACCTATTCCCTAATAAGATCATATTCTGAGGTTCTAGGTAGCTGTGGATTTGGGGGAACTTTGCTCAATACTGTGTATTGGCTAATAACTAATTGTTGCTTTTTTCTCCACTTCTTTCTGTGCATATATCTTGTTCAAGAACCTCATTATTAAGGAAAAGTTTCAGATATATGGCTTTTATGGCATTTATGGCTCACTTCAGTATTAGGCTTCCTATGATCTGGTGGCTAAAAGCTTTCAAGCAGAGAGTTCTAGGCATTCACAGTGAGTGCTTTGTTAGATAGAAATGAATTCAGAAGAAATGTAGTTAGGTCACTGATAATGACTGCTATAGGACTCTCCTTTTAAATTTTATTTTTCTGAATGACATTATGCTAAATTTTAAAAAGTAGATGTGTTCTTCCTATTTAGTTTGGAAAAAATATTATTTATATACATAATATATATTTTTACAAACTGAGTAGTCAGTAGACTATACAAGGTAATTAATGCCTCCAAGAAGAACTAAAGATAAACCATTACAAAGTTGGTGTTGTGATTTTTGGTAGGGTTACCACTTCCCCTATTATTAAATGATATTTAATGTAACAATTTTTTAAAGACATGATACCTCATATAATATTGTTTTTCACTTAATAAATAATGTATATCTTACAGCTGGAAGCAGCATACCTCAGAGCTGTGCAATGCTGTGAGTACTTTATGAAAATTTTAATTTAATCAAAGTATATGTATAATTACATCTGCCTTATTTTTTTCATGCTTTAACTCTGTCAGCCATTTTATATAGCAGAAAATTTTAGTGTTTTGATTATGCATTTATCTATGCTTGAAGCAAATCCAAAACAATCATCAGAATAGAATCCTGTTTCCTCCAGGCACAACTCGGAGAGAGGTGGAATGGCATTATAATTGGTTAAAATTCCTCATCAGACTCTTCTGCTTTCAAAAAAAGATAACAATTTTACCTACAGTACATTTGCTTATTAGCGTGTATGGCCTTTTTTCCCCACTGGGATTAAAACGCAGAAATATAGTCATAATTCAGAAATAGCAATCTTGAATGCTTTGCTACTCAATATTTATTGAAAACTTTGTTGAGATAGTATCATTCAAGGAAGTTAATGCTTAAAGGGGATGGAGTCTATCCCTCTTCTTCCTGATATTCAAAGCTAATTCTCTGTATTAATTCAGATCAGTAAAGAACTGGATTCTTAGACTACCTTGTACTTCTCTGACATACCTCTTCAAACTATTATCTTTACCTTGATTTCCCTTTATATACTTTTAGGAACAGGATGATGTTTTAAAATAAGGCATGTATTCTTATATGTATAACTGAGAAAATGAGCATCATGTGGTTAACAAAAAATAAATAAGCAAAATTAATAACAAAAAAGATGACCTGTTACTCGGAAGTAGTTGTCCAGGTGTGCAGCAAAATTTGATAACAAATCTATTCTTCCTGTATGTTGGTTTCTCTCTTTTCTGAAAATTTTGTCTTGGGTATCTGCATTGATTTAGATATCCTAATACATGCGCTGATGTGTTAGTTTCCTAGGCCTGCCTTAACAAATTAACACAAGTTTGGTGGTTTAAAACAAGACAGATTTATTGCCTCCCCTTTCAGGAGGTCAGAGGTTTGAAATTAAGGTATTGATAGTGTTGACTCCTTCTGGAGACTCTGAGAGAGAAGCTCTTCCAAGCCTTTCTTCTAGCCTCTGATGACTCTGGGAATCCTTGACATTGTGTGGCTTATAAATGCATCACTCCAGTTGCTTCCTCTATCTTCGCATGATTTTCCCTCTGTGTATTCATGTCTGTGGTTTGAAATCTCCCTTCGCTTTCTCTTATAAGCAAAACAGTCATTTGATTTAGAGCTCACTCTAAATCCAGCATGATCTTGTCTCAAGAACTTTAACTTACATCTGCAAAGACTCATTCCAAATAAGGTCACATTTGGAGATTCCAGATGATCATGTATTTTGGGAGATGCTGTTCAATTCTCTGTATTAGAGTTTTTAACATCTGAGGAAACTGGTTGAAAATCTAAATATTGATACATCTATTCTGTAATAACATGCAGATATGTTGAGAATGTTAAATTAAATATTTTAGAATCTGAAAATTCAGAGACTTATTCAGTTGTTGTTGTTCAGTTGTTCATTGATCAGCACACTAGGCTTCCAAGTCCTTCACCAACTCCTGGAGCTTGCTCAAACACATGTCATTTAGTCAGTGATGCCATCCAAACATCTCGTCCTCTGTCGTCCCCTTCTCTTCCTACCTTCACTCTTCTCCAGCATCAGGATCTTTTCTAATGAGTCAGCTCTTCACATCAGGTGGCCAAAGTAGTGGAGCTTCAACTCCAGCATCCATCCTTCTAATGAATATTTAGGATTTATTTCCTTTAGGATTGTATTGATTTCCTTTAGGATTGACTGGTTGGATCTCCTCGCAGTCCAAGGAACTCTCAAGAGGCTTCTCCAACACCACAGTTAAAAGCATCAATTCTTTGGCCTTCAGCCTTCTTTATGGTCCAACTCTCACATCCAAACATGACTACTGTAAAAACCATAGCTTTGACTATACAGACCTTTGTCACCAAAGTAACGTCTCTACATTTTAATATGCTATCTAGGTTTTTCACAGTTTTTCTCCTAAGGAGCACGTGTCTTTTAATTTCATGGCTGCAGTCCCCATCTACAGTGATTTTGGAGCCCAAGAAAATAAAGTCTGTCACTGTTTCCATTGTTTCCCCATCTGTTTACCATGAAGTGATGGGACCAGATGCCATGATACTAAATTTTTGAATGTTGAGTTTTAAGCCGGCTTTTTCAACTCCTCTTTCACCTTCATCAAGAGTCTCTTTAATTTCTTTTTGCTTTCCACCATAAGTGTGGTGTCATCTGCATATCTGAGGTTATTAATATTTCTCCCGGTTCATTCAATAGATGTTGAATATGAGGCAAAGACAAGTAACATTACTGAATGTTTGAGTTCTGCTTTGTTTTTAGCCACTTTTAAAGACAAATGCTCATCTGTAATTCTTGATGAGGCATATTCTTGATATTTGATATTACATGACTCAACTCTTGACTCTCCTATCTACTTTATAAACTAGGTAAGGATCATAAATAGCCAGAGAAACTATGCTTATGAGATTTTTTCCTTTCATAATTTGAATTGGGAATCATGGGCAGTCACATAGTTAAGCAGTGGGTGTTGAAGCTAAAAGAACACATTGAGAAATGGGATAATGGGGTAAACTAAAGGTCTTAGCTCATTATGAAGTCTAGACATAATGAGGAAGCGGTAACTAAAATAAGTAGATCATATAAAGAGTACTTACAGAGAGTGAAGAATCTAGTTGATAGTCGGTTTAAAAAAAAAAGACAAAAAACTTGTTCACAACTCAGAGAATTTACTCTTGCTGTTCTGTCTTTTAATGTTGTCTTTCAAATATTATCCTCATTTATCATTACACTACCTCATGTTTCTGCTCAAATGTCACATTTTTACATAACTTGTTTCTGATCACCCTGTGTTGAATAAGCACCCACTCTTATCACCAGTGCCACAAATACACAGCACTCTATCCTCCTTTCTCAGATTGCTTTTTCTTTATGGTACTTATCAAAATACACCCACATATGATACTTATTGTATCTCTTCCCACTGTAATACAAGGCATTCAAAGGAAAAGACTTTGTTTAGTTGACTACCACAAACTCAACTGCCTAGAAGAATGCCTGGCATGGAGTAAATAGGTGCTTAATAAATGTGAAAGGATTTTAAAAAAAACATGAGTTAAATAGAACCTGAGAGATCCATGAGTTATGTTGATAGACATAAAAATTCAGAGAACTCTGGTGGGTCTCTGGATCCAGTCTTAATGTCCTTGAGGTGGTTTTGTACCATAGACCCTTTTAGAATTCTGTAGGACATCTGATACTATTTTTGATAATTACCATGCTACTTGACGAAGAGTTAACAGGGTCTTATTGTTTGTTTGTTTTTTTGCCAAAGCAGTGTGAATTAGATACAATACAGCTTAAATTTGCATAAGGGAAATATATTTAGAAATGAGCTGCAAATATAGATGTAGAACACATTTCATAGCCAAATAAAATGTATTGGTAAGATTATCCATTGGCTTGGGGGTTATCTGTCTTTATTCTGATATTTTTAAGTAGATATTCAAAAGTTGCTAACATTGGTAGTAAATAAGGAGTGTATGTCTTTGCAATAACATTTGTAATTCTCCAACTCAGCACCAAGTTAAGTATATTTTTCTTTTTGAATTGTCAGCGGAACAAGAATATACCCAATATAGGACTGATATGTGTGATTTTGATGAAAATGTGAGTTTATATTGCTATTTTCAAAATAGGATTATTATAAAAGGAGTTTTGTTATGAATGCATTTTTAGTTTTTCAAAGGATATTGTTAAAGCAAGTTCTTTTTATCTTCTGAAAACCCTGTAATTCATTTTATACCTTTATGAATTAAAGTATACCTTCCCTAAAAATGCATTGTATTGGATAGATTTCCCTCTGAGAAGTCTGTAGTCTGTGAAAGCCAGATATGAATAGAATTTTATGCCATAAATGGTATTACACAATTCATTTCTGCCTCCACTGCAGGTTCTTATTCAAATTAGATAGTCTTCCATTTTTTACCCTGAGATGTCAACTGTATTCACATGCATTAAACAATCATCAAGAAGGTATCTATAAACATTACATGCCCACTTGCAAAATGTGTTTTACTTTCAATTTGTAGATGAGGATATATGCTTTATATAAGGAGAAATATCTTTTTCAAAGATTTTGGTTAAAAATCATGATATCTTAAAATGACTAATTGTCTTTAGGTCATTCAAAGTGATATCTGTATGAGAGGATCAGAAACAGTAGCTGCTTTCTCTCAGTCTCCATTTCTTATAAACTCTATTTATATTTAATTAAGTTCTAAGGTAACGAATATAAACCAAGGTAACTTGAGAAAGGATGCTTTATTATAATATAGAGATGACTTAATATGTCTTTGCATTTTCTTATTAATTTTTTTAGAAAAATTTCCTTCTCTCATCTGGGGATGGTATACAGAAAGACTACTGAAACATTATGAAGTCAGTATCAATCTTTCAACTGCTAGTTATTTGCTAATAGGTATTTATACAATTATTAGTTATAGTAAAACTTTTCAAATTCATAGCAAATAATAATCACTGGCAATAAGATATCACTTAAATAAGACACCTGCCTTATTGATAAACTCAAGTTATGAAAATATCACCTACTTTGGATCCTTTCTTCATAAAATGTAACATTAACTAACATCTAACATTTCATATTTTAAAAATTAAGCATAAGACTTTTTGCTGTGAAGAAATAATAACTGACTATATTAACTAAGAACTTATTTAAAACAAATGATTTTATTTGAAAATAAAACAAGGGTCATAATTGCTATTTAATAACTGTTTCTCAGCTGTAGATTTAAGTTAAAGTATGGTTTATCCTCAGGGACAAAAGCATTAGTTAAGTCTTAGCTTTTAAATGTCGAGGGGGCGTTGGGGGGCTGGGGATTACAAATAGAGAAAGTAACTGTCACCAGTCTTAAGTTGTCTGTAATGGGAAGTCTTCTTTTTAATTTTATTTTTTTAATTAATTAACTTTAATTGG